GGCCTGCGGAGCCGGGGGCCGCCGCCCGCTATGCTCGCCCTCGGCGCCCCGGCCCTGCGTCTCGCGTTCGGTGTGGGCCGCCGCCGAGCTCCCCCGCGCACCGGTGTTTTCCGAGGGCCTCAAACCCGTTTCTCTTTAACGAATCCGAGCACCGTGCCGTGTGCCTTGTTTCCCTGAGTGAAGCGCACGGCGTTGGTCAGGGTTGGGGCAGCACCAGTTTAAATCTCTCAGGTTTCGCCTAAATACAGTCCCTGGGAGAAAGGCCACGTCTCCCATGTGCCATCTGGCAGTCGCCTCTGCGCCTCTCTTAACTGATGGAAGAGGTAACAGGTGCCAAGGTGCGCGGTGAGATTCCCTTTTCCCACCCACACGCGGAGGAAGAAGGTGGCGTCTCCGTCCATATGGAAAGGGGATGCTGTAGATCGCCCGGGGGTGGGGGATGGACTGAAAGCTGTGAAATGTCTCAGATTGGAAAATGTAAGGATTTATCTGCTCATAGAAGATATATCATGGGCCAAGTGTTTTGTGAAACTGGGTTGATTTACAGTAAACAACTTAAAATGCAATGGGGAAAATAACTTATTTAATATGTTTATGAAGTTCCTACAGTGTACTGTGTAGGACGCACTGGAAATAGAGCTTTTAAATTCCAAAGTTGACGAGATACAATCACCAAGTAAAATAAGACCATTTCAGAGGTAGATATAGCTATGACCGTTGTAATAAAGGATCCTGTAAGAGTTTTTAGAATGGGAGCTACTTCACATCTGGTGCTCTGAGTAGCTGACGTTTTAGCAGCACCTAAGGAGAACGAACCATCTGTGTGAAAATCACGCAAAGAATGATCTTTTCAGTATGACGAGCAAATGCAAAGGTCCACTAGCAGGGCGTGATCGTGGTGTGTTCCTAGGAAGAGAAAGGAAGCCACTGGCTGCATGAAGCCTTCTGATGGTTGGGGACAAAAGTGGAAACATGACGTTGGGGAAGTCGGCAGGGGCCAAATCCTATAGGATCTTCTAAGTCGTGGTCAGGAATGAGGCTTTTATTTAAAATATAATGGAAAGGTAATGATTTAAAGCAGGCTAGGACCGAACTGATTATTAACTCTGCCTGTTTTGTGAAGACTAAGGGGGCAAAATGAAATGAAGGAGACATTTATTCTGAAGGGTATTGTAGGCTGGGATGTGGGTAATTAGCATTACAGTAATGGAGACAGAAAGAACCAAATGTATTTCACAAGTAGATCTGAAGATAGGGAGGTGAGGGAAAGAAATGGAATGATGCCTGCAAATTTAGTTTAAGCATCTTGATGGATGATGGTAGGGGTGGCTAGAAGAGAACAGATTGAGGGGCAAAGGAAAGGTGCTTGGTTTTGGTTATTAGTATAAGGTGTGGCATATCCAAGTGATAAATTGGATGTGTGAGTTGACATGAGTTTAGACCATAGGGTAGAACCAGAGAAATTTGGAGTCATAGTATTTAAAACCATGGAATTGTGGGAAATTTCCCAGGTAGGATGTGTAGGGAAGAGAAAACACCTGGGACTAAGGTAGGAGGAAAACTGGGCTATATATTACTAAATAAAAGAACAGATGTGTGACAGAAGGGGGGAGTTAGCTTGATAGGGGGCTGTAGACTGAACGAAAAAAGATGGAGACACGTAAGTGACTCTTAAATTTGGCAAGGTGGAAATAGTTGGTAATCTTAGCAAAGTAGTTTGACTCAGCACAAATAGAAGTTGTGCTCAAGAGGACTGGAAGAGATAGCTTAGCGGTAGACAGTGCGCTTAGCATGTTCAGGGCCCTGAGTTCAAACCCCAGCGTCACCAAACACGCAGACAGGAGGTCCTGCGTGGATTGGAACAACTGGGAACATAGTATAGAAGTTGAGAGGGAGGACTCCAGAGCCTAAAGGTTAACTTTATTTAGTCAGTCAGTCAGTAGGTCTTTTTGCGACAGGGTCTTGCTGTACACTTCAGGCTGGCTTTGAGCTCACTTTGTAGCCCAGGCTGGTCTTGAACTTGCAGTGATCCTCCTGCCTCAGCCACCTTGCCCGGCTTAAAGGTTAACTTTAAATTGTGCCCTTGCCACTTACTTACCAGTTGTCATGTTATAACTTAGTACTTTTGTTTCCTTATCTGTAAAATAATGAATACATATTAAAGTGTTAGAACACTGCTAGATCTGTAATTAGCACTTGATAAGAATTAGTTAAACAGAATGTTTGGAAAATGTTTTGGGTTGAGATAGCTTTCTTTTTTCAACCCTTCAGTTTTAAATTAAAAAAATTAAATCAGTTTCAAATTAGTTTTACTGCCGTTTCCTTTTTCCACTAACCTAAAATATTATTTGTAGCTACTTAATGTGAATGCTTCTGATTTTTCTTTAGCTTGAAAAAGCATATTTTATGTATCATTCGACGTATTCAGATGGCTGTAGCACTACAGTCATTACTGCTGTGATAAATGAAGCACTGCTAGTAGAATTTTAGCTGGTTGTTGGAATTTTGAGTGATCCTTTTCTAATTTGCATTGCTGTTTTATTGAACCCTTAGCAAGGGAAGATGGTGTACACCTGTAACCCCAGACACTGGGTGGCTAAGAATCTCAAGTTCAATCCCAGCCTGGACACTTTAGTGAGTCCCTGTCTCAAAATAAAAAATGGGTCAGAATGAGGCTCAGTCTGAAAGCCCTGTATTCAATTTCTAGTACTGCAAAAAACAAAAACAAAACACAAACAGAAATCTTGTGTCTCTGTCTCTTCAATTGCATTGAGTTTCAGGTGTATTTTTTTTAGTTAATAACTTAAAAAAAAACTGATCCCAATTATTCAAGATCGGTAGTTTCTTTTTTTGTTTGTTTTTCTTCCGGTACCGGGAATCGAACTCACCAGCTTGTGCTTGCCAGGCAGGCTCTGTGCCGCTGAGCTAAATCCCCAGCCCAAGATCAGTAGTTTCTAGTCTTGGTTTGTTATCTAAAGAGATTTTTTTGCTTTAAATACTTCAGCCCTGTAATTGACAAACTATCTGGTTGAAGGAGAAACATAGGGAGGATCAAGGATAAGATAAAACTTGAAATTTATATAAAACTTCTAACTATTAGTGCTAGTAAAGTATCTCATAGTTTTGAACTTAGCTGTATTGTGAAAACTTTTACCTACGAGTATGCTAATTAGTGTGCTAGATATTGAGGAAGTGGTAGGAAACAAAACGTAAAATTGTAATCTTAGCACCATTAACTATTTGGCAGGGAAAATGATGTGAACGAGTAATTATAAGACTGTTGTGAAGAAGTCCAGAATGTCTGGAGAAGTCAGGAAAGGTTTTTCTGATGTGGTAATATTTGCTCTCAGCTTGGAAGGATGAGTAGCAGTTTGCTGGGGGGAAGGGATGGGAATGGAGATCTATGAAATTGTGAGAGATTTGTAGGTTTTGGAGAATAGATTGTATGAAGGTCCTAAAAATAAGAGGAAAAGTTGTTTTGGAGGAATTGAGGAATTGAAAGAAGTTGAAAAAAGCGAAGGAAGAACAGCAGTGGATAGCTCCAGAGGAGCCAGATCGCATAGGACTTTGTTGAGTCGTGTTAAGAATTTGGATGTTATTGAAGGAGAGAGTGGACCCAATTTTAGGACAGGTGAGTTTTCAGGTTGTAGAGGAATGGAGTGAGAAAGCCTGGTTAGAGTTTTCATCATGAAATAAAAATGTGTCAATCTGTATTTTATTTCATTGTAAGTTCTGTAATTGTATCAGTGTTTTGAGTTTTCTTTCTCATAAATTATTGAAAATGTAGGTATTAGTATTGTCATTTTAGAATAGTTAAGATGGAGGTCTTGTTATCTTCAGCATTTACTTAGTTGTACTTGCTAATAATAATAAAAACCACGTTTTTTCTGTAACATTCACTTTTTTGATAATTTTATAGCCTCAAAAACAAGTAAGTTCTTTGGTTGTGGTTCTTTTTCTTTGAACGAAAAGTTTTTTGCTATACTATATTTAAAAAATCTTTATGGGTTTGCATATCACAAACATGTTCATTTAGTAGGAACTTTTTCTCTTTACCTGAAGGGACCCCTTAAGAGATAATCAGTGTTTAATTTTTCAGAAAATAAAGTTGAGCTAATGATGGGATTTAATGATGTGCCCATACTGTATTTCGAAGTTTAACTGTGAAGAGTAGAATACTTAGTTTTTTACTTCTGAGACTATATCGTGCTGTTGGGGTACATAGTTTTGTGTAGTGAAAATAAGTTTTTCTACCACCTAAGTCAGTGTCAGCTTTCTTAGTATATCAAGAATTTTGGGGGCTGGGGATTTAGCTCAGTGGCACAGCGCCAGCCTGGCAAGCGTGAGGTCGTGAGTTCGATTCCTGGTACTAGAAAAAAACCAAACAAACAAAAAAAGGATTTTATATGTTTCTGCCTGCAGTTGAAAGGATTGACTGCAACACATATATATTTAAAAGCCTACCTCTTATCTCTGTTATCTCTTTCCTTAAGTACTGGTTGATTAAAAATAAACAGGTCATATTACTATTGCTACTGTTACTATAGTTATCTGAAGTACTGCTGCCACTGCCA